GCACAACAATGTTTGGAGACCTTGACTTCATTTCCTTTCCTCAACCATTGCAGTTTATAAGGATGAGGATGTGCTACGATTGGAAGCTTCAATTTTTGCGCCATATAACTGGCAACAACATTTTCAAAACTACCACTATCAATAATGACATTACAAACCTTCCTTTTGGACATGCACCTTGTATGGAAAATATTGTGATGAAGCCAACTTTCATCTAAGGTCATCATAACGGTGCTAAGATTGCGGCGTACCACAAAAAAATCTCCATTATGAACATGTACTTCTTATATTCTGTCTTCATCAAGCACTACTATTTTACCTATCGTATCCTCTTTAACATGATCCTCTACAAGTGAAACAATTATTCAATTTGGACAATCAGAAGCAGTATGCCCAAAACCTTAACACTTGAAACATTTTCTTAAAGTGACATTAGGAGTATGACTAGAACCACCCTCTTTATCATTATGTAAAGAAACTTGAAAGAGTTTACTTTAGGATTTGAAAGGGGTGTTGAGCTTTGTTTCCCACGACTTGTTGCAGTCTCCCTCTATCTAGTGGAATTTATAGTGCTCTTTCATGTAAGCTGCTTCTCAGCCTTGATTGCCAATTGGATAACATCAATCAGACTCCAATATGATTGTAATTGTATGACATCTGCAATCTTCACATTAAGACCTCCAAGATAATGAGCGATAGTTTGCTCTTCAGGTTTATGGATATTGCACTTCAGAAGAAGTTACTCAAACTCTATCGTATAATCTTTTACCAACATAGTTCTCTGTCTTAAATTATGAAATTGAAGAAAAGTGTCTTATCGATAATATGCTAAAAGAAACTTACGTTGAGTTCTCGACGCATTTTCTCCCATGATCTGATTTTCTGATGACTTTTCTTTGTTGCTGCTGTTTCGGATTCTCCCACCAAATAGATGCATGCTTCTTCAATTTTATTGCAACCAGCTTTACACACTTCTCATCAGGAACATCTTAAAGCTTAAAAATTATTTCCATAATGTAACCAGTCAATAAAATCATCTGGTTGAAGTCTTCCCTCAAACTTAGGAATGTTTACTTTGAAACTTGAAATCCCCAATTCACTGGCTCGGCCCCTTGGATGGAACCAAGGTGATTCATCTTGAGATGAAGAGTCTTCACCAAATGGATTCACTGTTGGAGCTGTTACCGATTTCTTCATCTGGACCTTTGTCTCATGTGGCTCCCTATCTTGCAAGTTGTTTTTGTAATTCTTTAATTTGGTTTTGTAATTCCTTTATTTCAATATCTCGAACAATTCTCCAACGATTTTGGAGTTTTGGTGGCATTTTGTGGTGTAGGGGTGATGAGGTAGAAAAGTCAAATAATTCACAAAAATTTTGTATAGTAGTAAGTGCTACTATGGTTCAATGCACACCAAAAAAATTCCCTGGAAAGTAGAGGGGTCCCAAGCAGTCCCACTTAAGACTCACTTTCCTTAGACTCTTATTATCTTGTTCACAGAATTTTCCTAAACATGCATATGAATTAAATAGCTGCTCACTGTCCTAAACCAAAGTTCTATAAACTAATGACTAGGCAACGGAAAGCTAAAATAATGTCTAGTTGAAAGTAAAAGTGAGACAAGAGAAAAAAATACTTGAAGAAGAAACCAAGGCTCTGATACCAAGCTGACACCAGGACGTCACGAGAAACTCAATCTTGGCGAGGTTGGAAACCTTACCACGGATGCCAATTGTGGTGAGGTTAGAAAAACCCCACTATGGCGAGATTAGCCAAAAAGGCCACCTTGGTTGGCTAAGCCAGGGTCAAAAAAGGAAGAGAAGCAAATGCTTACTCAAAGATGTACTTATTAATATTTCTAGGATGATTACAAAAGACAAAGTAATGGTTTATTTATAGCCCACCAAGTGAAAATCTAAGGCTTACTTTTTTCATATGGGATACAAAAAAAAGTCAAAACATAACATAATAATAATTTTTTTCTCTTCTTCGTTGCTCCTGTGTTATTGATTATTTTGGATTTAGACTTATACAAGTTTATAGATTTGTTTGAGTTTGTTTTAAGTTTCACACAAACATGTATATCTTATTCAAAACTCGTCATAAGTTATGGGGACTCAAGCACTATAAACTAGGGTTGACTATTAAAACATCATCTTAAGTTTGGAATAAATTAAATAGTCATGAACTTTATCGCTTAAGCGATTTAACACATATTGCTTAAGAGATAAGTTTATAGATAAGTCTATATCGCTTAAACGATAAACTCATATCACTTAAGCAAATGGTCATTTAGTAAAGAGTTTCAAACTTTATGACTATTTAATTCATTCCAAACTTGAAATGGTATTTTAATTAATTTTCTCCTATAAACTTGTCTACTAAACAATGGGTACTCATGTACTAACTCTAGCTCTTAAGTTGGATTCTAATTATAAGTTATGAATTAGAGTATATTATATAATAGTATTAATTTAAATAGAAATAGTGCATAAGTTTTGCTGATGGAGATAGAAAGAGAAATCCTGCATTTTGTATAGGAAATTGAAATTCTTTCTCTAACTCAAAAAATCATGCGCATTGTGTTAAGAGAAGATATCGGGTGTGTTTGTTTTAGTATTTTGAGTAGTATTTTTGAAATATTATTAATAGGTAGAGTTGGGTGATTATTATAAGGTAGAATTTAAAAATTAATAAATAAATAAAAACCCCTAGGTTTGCTAATTTAACTAAATACCCCAGTATATAAAAATTTTGTAAAATGACAAAAACACCCCCACCCACCCACAGCTGCCAGATTTTGGCGTTACGGCGCACGACTGGCCATATCTAGCTAGTCGTGTGCCGATTTGGCCTTTTCCGACCAGATCCAACACAGATCTAGTCACAAAAAGCCAGATCTATGGTCAAATCTGGCTGTCAGCGATGGTCAAATATATGGCCGTCGTTGATCATCAAAGGCAACCATCTCTTGGTCGTCGTTGACTGCCAGATCTGGTCGAAAAAAGCCAAATCAGCGTATTACCGGCCAGTTTTGACTGGTAGTGTGCTGTTGTGACAAATTCCGGCAACCTTCCGACGATGGTGGCCAGAATCTGGCAAATGTGGGTGGTGGGGGTGTTTTTGTCAATTTTTAAACTTTTTTTGGGTGGTGTTTAGTTAAATTAACAAACTTAGGGGATTTAAAAAATAATTGAATAAAATATAATAGTATTTTCAGAATAGGGAAACAAATGTGTATTTTGGAAATGATATGAATATGATAGGGGAAGAATATTGAAACAAACGGACCCCATATTTGCCTATTTGTATTTGATTTTCCACCCTGGTAATAATTAATCAAATGAAATTAGTTTTTTAAATTGAAAAATTAATATTGATTTGTAGCATGGATTGCTCTCTAAGAAACCCCTTTACCTAGATCAATTACTTGGTTGTTCCACATTTTGATATACAATGTTACATTTTTTTTTTTTTTTAATGACTGAGGTGTCTGGGCAGCTTGCTCGATGTTCCAAAATAAGTCACAAATGTGATAAATGACCCTAAAGTGATTCGAACCCAAGAAAGATAATTCGAATACAGAAAATCAATGAAAGGAGTAAACTTTATTGACCACAAACTAATCCCTTGGGGTTGTGAATATTACATTGTCATCCTTTTCAAAGATCATTAAAATGTTAACTACTTATGTAAAAAATAAAATTTGTAATGATTTTAATTAGTACCAAGCATTTTCTCTGTTAACATGAGACTTATTACATATTATCATGTTTAACATAAAGACCCAGCATGTTATAAAATATTGATTAGTAAATGAGTCATTAATTAATCTTTTTTCTTTTTCATATAAAATAATTAAATATGTGATTATCAGTTTATTACTTCATACCTTTCAATCTTTTTATTTCTTTAATTTTCAGTCATTCAATATCTTTCATTAAACTCTGTATGTATAGAATTAAAATTGCATAGATGTTTCATTTTCTATTTAAAGTTTTAATCTTTAAGCAGATAGGTTATGTTATGTGCAATGGTTAGATTTCCAAAACCAAATTAAATTATTATTTTGTGTTGTGGCGCTTAGTGGATCAAGGTCCAAGGAGGCCAGATGGTGGCCCGTGGCCTACCCAACTTGGATTGTTATTGTGGACGAACCACGTTGGCATACGTGAATTTTGGTATGAGAATCTAAACAAAATGAATCAATACAAATAGGTGGTCGGCTTTAAAAAGTTCAAAAAAAAAAAAAAAAAGGTTAAACTGTAAAAACATTTAAAATTAGGTAAATTTGATTAAAAATAATTACTGTAAAATAATCTTCAAATCAAAACACATTATTAGATAGAAATCGAGAGAGAAAATGTTTGTTGTCTGTTCCATCGCATTTATTATACAGATATTCGAGCCGGGTAGCATTTATAGTACGTAGCTCTCAAAAGAAATCTTTTGCATGATAAAAGTAGGCACGTATATTAATTACACTCTTCATATGAACATGAAAGAGTTGTTAATAAAAACAAATCTAGGTTCCTAGAACTGTGCTTATCAGAAATATAATGTTTGATCCCATAGTTCTCTTCTTGGTTGCCTCATCACCGAAAATATCGTATCGTATCGTATTTTATATATATAGACAAAGAAGAGAAAAGAAAATGAGATAGCCATAACTAGAAGTGAAGACGAAGACAAAGACAAAGAATGCTCTTATCTAGAATTCAATCAATCCCTGCTGCCTGCCAACCTTGTTCACTCTATATTGATTGTACATTTTTTTGTCTTTTTTTATTGAGGATGAGCCCATAAATTATCAAAAAAAAACAAAATTTTAATTTCCTTCTACGACAGCGTAACCACCACGTCTTTTAGATTAACTACTTAATGTTTTTTTTAACACATCCAATACATTAATTCTCTCCATCAAATACCTCCATACACAACCCAACCTTGATTCTCCTTTCTAAATTCTTCGCCGTCGGCATACGCAAACACTCAACTAACATGAGAGAAATTCAAGGAGACTACCTTCCGCCACAGCCACCGCCACCGGCACCGCCACCACCGTCTCACCCTCCAAAATCAAACCTGCCCATGTTATACTACGGCCTAGTGGTGGTGGGCACGGCGGCTTTAGTTCTTGTGATATATAATCTTATCATAATAAAGTGGTGCACGCGTCGTCAAAGCCGGTCAGAGCAGACACCTAACCGGTATATAGAAGCTACAACGGCAAGTCAGAGTTTTGAAAACATAAACAGGAACTTCTTGTCGAGTTTCAAGTATAAGAAGGATATAAATATCAACATGGGAGGTGAAGAGGAAGGTGGGGAGTATGAATGCCCAGTTTGTTTATCAATATTTGAAGAAGGAGAGGAGGTGAGACAACTGCCAAGATGCAAACATTCATTTCATGCACCTTGTATAGATATGTGGCTTTATTCTCACTTCGATTGCCCACTTTGCCGTGCTCCGGTGGAGCTGCGCTACAATCATCGGCATACGATGTCAGATACACCAGAGCATTCAAGGGAAGGTTTGCTCTAGATTCAGGCATGATTTTATTTATTTATTTATTTATTTATTTTTGTTGATAATTTGATATCCTCCAAGTCTTGATGTCATTTAGAGTCGTGGGATTGGTGAATTAGGACGATGATAACGAAGAGAATTGATGGAAGAATAGCTATGAGGAAGATGTAGATTTGTTTTATGTTTAAACCGGGGCCAGAACCAGCCACTTGGTCCATTTTGTATATAAAAGTCAAATTTTTGGTGCACAACTTGGCCTTCACAACAGTAATTTTTACTGTTAATGTTACAATTTATTCAAAATTGAAGGATGAAATTCATATAATATTGAGTTCAAGGGAAAATGATGGGACCATTATCATATCATTAATATACATATAACTTTATTANAAATGATATATGAATTTTTGTGTAGAGAAAAATCTCTAAGAACCCTAAATCTCCCTCTTGCTCAAATCTCTTCTTCCCTTGGTGTGGATACTCTTTTGCTTAATTTCTCTTGAAATTAAGAGTCTCCAAGGTTGCTAAGGACCTAAGGTAACATGTTCTATCTTACTTATTTCAATTTGATTGAATTTTTTTTTTTTTTAAACTATGACTATACTTGTTATAGCATGATATGCTTGATTCTCCATGCATCCATCTTTCATGGAGACCATCATCGACGATGACGACTGAACAATGAAAACTGAACTGAGGCTGACGATGACAAGGACGGCAACGAAAATGAAAACTGAACAACGACGACAACGACGAAGCTACACCATTGTTTGGAGACCATGATCGACGACGACGATTGAACAACAAAAATTGAACTGAGGCCGACGACGACAACAACGAAAACCAAAACTGAACAACGACGATGACGACGACGACTGAACAACGAAAACCGAACGAGAGAATCGTGGGGTAACGATAACGGTGGAGGATGACTGAACTAAGTAATTTTTTTGTTTGGTGTTTGATGGGTTTATGACAGATGATGTTTTCTGTGTGTTTTTGAGCTTATCATTTTATCTCATGCATGCATTTTGTAGATTTTTTTCTGGGTTTTAATGAACTTCTTTTGCATGTATCACAAATATGTTTGTCTTCATTTTTTGTTTACTTAGTTGTGTTTCTATAGTTTGATTGAGCTTTTGGATAAATTTTGTTGTCTGTTGAGTTCATTGTGCAGTAACAGACTTCTGTTCTTTGTGAATCAGCTATTCTTTTTCTTTTTCTTTTTCTAATGTATTTAATATTTGCAAGGTTTAATTATGTAAATTGTGTCTAGTTTGGTTAAGATCAATGATTTCAAATTAGTTTAGTTGATTCGGAAAAAAACATTGATATGAAAAATCTACTATACCAGGAAGTTATAGTTCTAGGTGCTTTAGAATCTTCGGATAAATATTAATTTTTTTTTTATTTGAATAAAATATGTTATCACATATAAGAGAATTTTCCGTACTTGTATGTAGGAGCACTTTGTGCATCATAGATTTGTGGTAGTAATGGGCATTTTTTGTTTGCTACAATGTCTTTACTGTTTCACATTGTTTACTTATTTAGGTTTTAGACCAAGGACTCTTGGTGGTCATAATCTCTATCTCAGTGTTTGTGGGTCTAGCAAGTAATTGAGCAATGTAAAAGTATCGGGGGGAGTTATCTATAAGTATATGTAGTGGAATGTGTATTTATGATTGTCTATGTTTTCCTTTGCACTGTGGCTTGTCCAAAGTAATTTATGAATAATGATATTTTTTTTATTTGTATATGAATATTGCTCCAGAACTATGCACCTTAATAATGTTTGCTGTTTTAAGTGATAAACAAAAGTGTGTAGATTGTTTACAGTAGTTAGTATTTTAAGCTTAAGCTGAAGATTTTTGGTACACAGCTGTATATTTTTGTTTTAAGTACCCAAAGAGGTTTGCGTAGGTTTCAAATTTCCTTAGTAAGTTGGTACTAGAAGTTCTTTTAAGTAATTATAATCCTCTTCCTTTTCTTTTAATATATTCTCTGTTAGTTGGTATTTTATTATTCTAGGCCAATGGGTGAGCACATCCAGATTCCTGAAATGAAATGCAGTTGGTTGGAGAACTTTGCATTAGTTTGATGCTGTTCTATCAATTTGATGCCTCTCATAATATGTTAGAATTGAAAACGTAGGGGGCTGGTTTGACTTATAGAACATGTATGTTCCTTTGCCCTGTCCAATTGCCTTCAAAAGGCAATTGGACAGGGCAAAGCAACCTTCAACAACCATGATCTTAGGAAGACAGTTTGTTTAATGGTTCTTAATAACGTAGAGATAGAAACACATAAATTGAGGATGGTTTATGCTATTTTTAGTACACTATAACGCTTTTTCATACCTTTTTCTTCAGTTAATTGATTGGTTAATGAGTAATATATGTAGAATTGTAGAAATTTATCTCATGTAATCTTTCTGTAGTTAAATCTGAAAGTGATCATTAGAGGAATTAGAAGGTTTTTTAGTGAATACTGAATAGAATTATATTCTCATCAACTTAATTAATTAATTTAAAAACCCACTGCAAATCTGAAAGTAGGTTAAATTTTAGTTAATTATTCAATAATAAAAAAAGGTTTAATTTAATTAAAGTAACTGTTATTTGCATGTTTTTCATTACTTAATAAAACATAAATTCTAGTTTATTGATTTTGCCCAGTTTATTTGCATGATGGAGCCACAACTATTTAATTTGAAATTTCAATTGTTCGGTATTGATTGTGAGATGCAGAATGTGGACCCCAATGAATTTAGCTACATAGTATTGATAAAGGATATGAAAAAATGTGTTGCAGAAGAGAATAAGGCAGTTCAACTTAATCTTAATGAGAAGTTTAGGGTGGAATCTATTTTACCATTGTTGGGGGAGAAATTTTTAATAGATAGTGATGAGGATGTGGCATTTCTTTTTCAACAATATGGGCCCGATGGGTTAAAGGACATTAGGTTGTATGTCGAAGCTTTACCTATACAGCATGTGGAACCATTGTAGCCTTTGCCAGAACCCAACCATACTAAACCTAATGACAATCAAACAGAAATTCCCCCCAAAGAGTATTGTGACGATGACTTCCATTGGAGTGATACCTCTAATGAGGATGAAAGCAGTAATTGATTTGCTGGTGCTATTGGGAATGTTGATGGTGAGGCTGGTGATAATGATGGAGGTGATGGGAGAGAGGAAAGGGTTGAAACTAGTGATAATGAGGGAAAGGTAAGGGCTGAAACTGGGGGGCATCTGTCTGATTATGAGAAAAAAGTGACGATTTCATGGGGGGTCTAGTGAGGATAAGGATGTAGTGAGTAGGATGAGTAGGCATAAGAAGGCAAGTGAGTTTCAGCATGGGCTAGATGGGAAAATTAAATTTGAGGTGGGGTAGGTTTTTAGAAATAAAATCCATTTTAGTGAAATTTTCAAGGACTACATAATTCAGAGAGGGTTCGCAGTGAGAAGGGTGCACAATGATAAGCAGAGGATCAAAGCAGTGTGTAAAGAAGAGGGTTGCCCATTCTTTCTATATGCAGCCTTAATGGTTGACAAACAATTGTGGCACACATGCCTTAGAGTATATAACAACCCGAATGCCTTTGCCTCATGGATTGCTAAGAAGATGGAGGGATTCATTCGGTCACACAAGGGGAGTTGTGTTAAGCCCTTAGATGCTAAATTAGGAAAGGTGCAGTTTTTGGAGATACATAAGGAAGTTGTATAGGGCTAGGAGGTTGGCCACCGGAATGACCCAAAAACAACATGTTGAGTCTTTTGCCTGGTTGTTCAAGTACAACCACATTCTTCTAGTCACCAACCCTGGATCCATGATAGAACTTGGGTTGGTTAGAGAAGAAGACCCAGACAATCTTACAATTAGAGAAAGTGTCCCACAAAGTCCTAGATTCAAGAGATTTTTTGTAAGTTTTGCTGCTCATAAAATAGGATTTTTTGGAGGGGCGTAGGCATTTCATAGGAATTGATGGGTGTCATTTGAAAGGTCACTATGGTTGGGTACTTCTATCGGCAGTCTCTATGGATGCAAACAGTGGGATATTCCTTTTGACAATATGTGTTTGTGAGGCAGAGAATAATGACTCATGGGGCTTCTTCCTTGGACTATTGCATGATTTTTTGGGTGATTTAGAGCATGTTACATTCATGAGTGATAGGCAGAAGGGTATTCTAAATGCACTAGAAGCAAAGTGGCCAAATGCAAGGAGTCGATTTTGTGCTCGGCATGTGTACGTAAGCTTCAGAAAAAAATTTCCTGGGGTTCACATGAGGAAACTGTTTTGGGCAATGAGTAAGGCTACAAATAGACCAGATTTTATTAAGGCCATGGGAAGTGTCAAGGATGTAGATGAGGGTGCATACAAATGGTTACTTGAAAATGAACCAGACCAATAGTCCAGACATGCGTTTGACACAACAGCAAAGTCAGATCACATAACTAACAACATGAGTGAGTGCTTCAACTCATGGCTTGGTGAAGACAGGAAACTTCCTATACTAAGTCTACTAGAACTTTACCAATGTAGGGTAATGAAGCGGTTACAATGTAGATTGAAAGCTGGTACAAAGTGGATTACACCTCTTCCACCAGTAGTTCACAGAAAGATAAACGAGATGATTGAGGCAGATCTGATGAGTTTGAAGTAGATGATGAGAATGTAAACCCATGTAAAACTCATGTTCTGGTTTTGGGTAAGCAACTGTGTGATTGTGGGATGTGGCAACTATCGGGAATTCCTTGTGTTCATGTTATCGCCTGTTTGTTACACAAAAACATTTCCAACTATGAACATTTTGTTGATTTGAAGCTTAGAATTCTGATGTACCTGCAAACTTATGCATACATGGTCCACCTTGTTCCCGACAAGACCAGTTGGCCAGAGGTCAGTGATGAATATATTTGGCCACCATACAGGCAGCCCAAGGTTGGCAGACCTTCGAAATCAAGAAGGAGAGATCCAAATGAAGAGCCAAAATCTAAAAGGGTCTCTA